CAAATCCACACGGCTGCCGTACCCCACACCCTAAACTCCAACCCCTACACAGCCCGAAACTGTCCCTGCAAAGTTCTAAAGCCTGTCCGAAACCCAGTGGCAATCCTGAAAACCTGAAAACCTTCCTGAAAGCCTACACCGCCGTTTGGATCCCCCAATCCGTTGTCTTGGGCCATAAACAGCACTGAGCCTTGCCAGTTTTTTGAACGAGAGGAACTTTGATCTGGAAGCCCTCAGTCCGAACCCATAAACAAAGTCATCCATAAGGGTTTAGGGTTTAGGGTTTAGGGTTTAGGGGTTTAGGGTTTAGGGTTTAGGGTTCAAAAACCTTGCGGGCCTGACTCCAAAAGTAGTGTGGCCAGGGCATCCACTGAAGTCAGCCTGAGCCGGGGTGTGGTTGAGGGAAGTGTCACAGGCAAGGGCTCGGACTAGTTTCTCTGGCTCTTGCTTGGAGGATCATGGGACTTAGTAAGTAAGGTTATAAGTCGCCTAATTGGGGTTATAAGTATGTATAGTTACCTTAGTTATAAACCTACTTACTAAGTCCCATGTTCCTTTAAGTGACAATGCTGTTGGACATGTTCGAGGCGAAGGTCCCGAATAGATCGGAGTCCTAAGCATCTCCTACCATGCCTCTGGGCAGCTTCTTTGTCTTCCAGAATACGTCCACCAGTTTTCGTCTTGAGCAACGGGCTGAAGATATGTCGCTGACCGCACAGACATCAAGTCCGCACTAAGCTGCAAACCCCGTTTAGATCCCCATATTCCCGCTGGATGTCCCAGGCTTTATAGAGGTTCTGGCTTCGCCGTTTCGGACTTCAGGTTGCGGGGCCCAGGAAGCGGCGATGCATGTTGGGAAATGATAGGCCTCTAGACGACAGACAATCCTGACACCGTGGCATCCGCTTCATTGGGACCGACGGGGTCCCGCTTCCGGTCAGGGGGTTGAAGGTCTGACACTTCAGAACTCGGGAACCTACCACACTTCACAAGGAAGTGTCCTCAGGCCTCATGTCACAACAGTATACATATAACACTTGAGAAACCCAGGGTCTTCATACAACACTTGAGAAACCCAGGGATGTCTTCAGCCCCAAAGCCGAGACCTAGAGATCCGAACCTGAATGCCGTAAACCCCTCCTCTGATCAGGGGCATCGTTGATATGCTGGGAGGCCCACGTCTGCACGTGACCTGCGCCAAGCTTGGCCTGCGACGAAACTCACCATAAAACAAGCCATACGCAATGAGACACCAGCCGGAGGATGGCTGTGCAAGATGGGAGCCTCACCATTCAGTAGAATCGAGCAGGCACTCAATAAACACAAACCATACTCATCGTAGCTGGCCCGTCTTTGCCCCGTGCTCTGCATTGCTTTCGAATATGGGATTACCGTCAGCCAGTATCCCGAAGTCTAAGCCCTTTCTGTCGTAAATCCTATGCGTGAATATCTTCCAGGATTCGTACTTGCATCTTACGCTGTGCGACTCCCTGCTTCGGACTTGGCAGTAGAACTTGCTTGGAAATCCCGACAAATCCGGGGTGGGGTGAGGCAGGGTGGGCAACTGCTGTTTTGGAAGTTTAGGTAGGTAAATGCTTCCGAAAGGGGGTTTCCCGACACATATAACGGGGTGTTGGGTTTTGTCATGTCTGCCGAAATTTGATGTTGTGAGCTTGTAAAGGCTCTCGAGAAGGAACGACTTAGGATACGTACAAAAGAAAGATCATCGCAAAGGCCGCCTCGCGTCCAGACAGCACTCGTCGGAAGAGTTTCTCTGCCTCCGCCGCATCACCGACCTCCTGTGCGTTCCGGAAGCTAATTTCCGAAAGCGGTGGGCCCAGCTTGATTGGGGGATAGGACATGGCGCTTGCGAGACATGAACTGGAGGTCCACTCAAAACAATACTGACCCTACGCGGCCAGGTTTAGATTGCATAGGTTTGGGGTTCAGATCGCGAACACCGTTTGTCCGAATGCCTCGAAGTCCAGTAACCCGGATCCTTCGTGCGAAACTCTATCCGGACTGTTCCCAAATCTTCTTCCAACAGGACCAGGAGCTCCCTCATTTATTTCTCGTCGAAGCTCTGGAACGTTTGAGACTTCGGACTTTGAAATGCCGGAGCTGCAGCGTTCAATTCAGGCCTTTTCGCCGGCACTACAGAAGCCCTGGAAGACATGAATAAACACACCTGCGGAAGGAACAGGCCTCCAAATCCCGGAAATGGACACCCTGTCTTCCACCCTAAGCCTCAGTTGCAAGACCCGAGCCACGAGCACCAATTTGCAGCCCAACTGCAAGCCCTGGCCTGATGAAGAAGCCCAAAAGCACTCAGCTCAAACCTGCCTGGAGTAGCTCAGCTATCTCGTGAACAAGATCCAAGGTTTCCATGGACCTCGGCAGCTTTTGACATACTGTAGAACTATCTACTACACCCAAGCAGTAGGATCTGCATTGCAGAACAAGCTTCGAAAGCAGGTGCCAGCCTACATGCGGTTATGTTAGGTTATTGTAAAAAATGCCACCTCATCGTCGTCTTCAGCACCACTTAGAAGCTAGCTTAATAGGTGATGCATGCGCTAAGAGACCAGACATGCACTGATGCAGTAGGAGCCTGGGTCCTCGAGATAGGGTCAGTGGCCGTACAATGTTACACAGCCCAGCCCGACTTACACAGAACACGGACACATAGAGGCCTTGAGCCACCGGCTAACCCTGGCAACCTCTGCTTTACGTGAACGACAATGCCTCTAACTTCCTCCGGATAGAATACGAACACGGTCAATCTATATCCACGAGCATAAGTTAATGTTGATCATCATGACCGCGATCAGGGTCCTTAATTGTCATTGCTACACTTACAACCCTCGTCATGACAGGTAGTCAACTCGCACAAGCACTGCTCGCCGTGCCTTCATGTCTCTCCTTTTTGTTAGCCGACTCACAGAGTCCTGAATCCTATAAACCCTGAGCACACTTCACAGTCCCAAGACCCAGAGCCCTCTCCAAGCCAGCCATCCCTTTCAACTGCAAATTCTACAGGCTCCCAACGGACCCGAATAAAACCCAGCAAGCCCAAACCGTAAGAACCTGAACTGAGTCGGGAACGTCTCACCGAGCTGTTCCTGTTTCCACGACAAGGCAGGTTGGGTTTACGGCTTTAGCTTTTCCGAAGTAGGGTCGTGCTGGGACCTTTGTGGATATGTCCCGAGGCATCGAACTGATTGGGGTTGCCCAATAAAGCTCTTCGAATGGGGTGCTAAAGCCCCAAACCTCCGGGTCGAGTGAACCTGTCAGGCCGCCCTAAACCTCTATATATATATATATAATATTAATATATTAATATATATATATATATATATATATATATGTATTTGTATATATATATATATATATATAACATTATATATATATATAATACTATATATATATATATATATATATACGAACTCGTCCTTAGCTCTGACCTCCGCTTAGAAATCTGCTTTGGCTTTGCCTGTCGGGCAGCTCGGGCTTGTTGTTGCTGAGTATGAAGCTGCTTGTACCAGAATGGTTCTTTGTGTCAATGGTCTGACCACTAACCGGCACGAACGTTCAGTCTCACCAATTCTAAATAGTACGATCTTGATTGCGCAGCACTAAGACAGACACCGTGAGTTTATGAAACCCATACATAGGAGACATGACAAGCCCGACATTTGGCATAGCTTCTTGGACACCGCACTTTGAATGCGATTATTTATCAACGAGAACACAGCCACTCGCAAACATCTCTTTGGAACACCAGCCCCTCGCCTCGAAACCCTCCAGAGCGCGCCAGAAGAGATCCTGACCAGGGGGCTTTGCCGAGTCTTCGCGCTTCAGCTCGCGGACGAAAATTCGGAGTTCCCTAAAGCCCATGCTATAGCAAGCCCCTATCCTCAAGGACTCTAAACCCAAAATCACCAATTCCATCTACACCAGAAATACCCTGGCCCTAAAACCCATTAGGCTGCTGATCACTCCGGCCAGGACCTTCAGTCTAGAGGAGGGAACATGAAACCCCAACGGGCCCTTGGTCGACTGTAAGCTTCTACAAGGGCACTGCATGGCTTTAGGATGAGAAGGTTACTATAAGGTAGCCTTGGTAGACTTCTGGTAGCCTTTGATAGGAATGTTGTTGGGGTTCCATGCTGCTTGAGGGGGTGTATCTCAAAGCTTGCATGAATGTTCGTGGTGCCGCAATAAGTACGGCCATAAGACCTGGCTAAGGTAAGGCAGCCAGACAGTAGAGTCAAGTACAACTTCGCTTAGGGTAACTGGCTGACTTGTAACGTAGTACTTACACCTACCTGAACCGTAATCCCTCAAACAAGATCATGGCTGTAGCAAAGTGCTTTGCCGCCTTGTTCTCGGAAATCGTATTTTCAAAACGGACTGACCACCTAAATTACCAAACCCACCCGAAAGGTAGACAGAGGTCCTCTGCTTCGCTACGCCGCTTCTGGGCCCGAAGGTGTCGTGCAAGATGCTGCACCTCAGAGAGGTATGTAGCATAGACAGCATAGATCCTTACAGGGTTGCAGGACTGATTATGAAGTTCTGGGCTGAAGGTGTTTAGGTTTTACAAGGTTTCGGGATTAGGGGCTGAGGCCTTACAGGTGTAGGCTGCACGGGTCTAGGGCTGGGGGTTTCTTCAGATGAGGCTTCTAGAAGGCTTCCGGGTTCAAGCGCTGGCAGCGTAGAGTAGGGCTTGGGCTGAGGGTAGCACCGTCCACCAGCAACACAGGAGAAAGAACTTTCGACAGCAACCACCGACTTGTCAGCGGCTTCAGCGCCCAATCCTCTCCCTCGGACTTGTCCTAAGCAGAACAGGGCTGAATCCATCAAAACCCATCGCAAGACCAATCGATACTGCACTTTTGACATGAACAACCAAACCCCTCCCCGCACCCCGAAATATACTCTCGTGCAGGAGGCTCCAAACATGCAACTCACGTGTTCAAGAATAAGGTTTGCCACCTCTAAACCCCTGAAGGCCACGGCACGGTCCGAAGAGTCTGCAAATGCGACTCGCCCAACGTCTCCTCGCGACCCTCCAGGACTTGTCGAAGGAGGTCCTGCTGAGATAGAACTGCTTCTGATCAAGAAACCTTGTCGCCTGCTGCTTGAACAGATCTTGCATTGGGGTTGTGGCAAGCTTTGAAAGTTCGGCTTTAGAGTTTAAGGTGTGGGGGCTCCAGACTTCAGATGTTGGTGTATAGGGCTTTCGGGGCCTTGGCCTCCAAGGGTCTTGGGCTTGAGGTCGGGAGATACCGAAGGACACCTGAGTTGACGGATGAATGCTTCAATGGTCACCGGTCTTGGATCGGTTTTATTGTCAGATGCCGGTTTCAGAAGGAATCCAACAGAAATAAGTTGTTTGACTTCGGCTTAGAGCTCCGAGACTTCACTGACAGGCCGATGGAGGCCGTCATACAGGCTACGGCTACGGGAGGCTTCAAAGCACTGCGACTTGTCGGTTTCAGAGCGCTTGTGGTTCGATAAGAACTTGTTCGCCACCGGGGGCCTTCATACACCTGTCGACTAACTCCTCCAGAAGGCTCGGCCTTAGAAGGATTGCCGCTGAATCCGCGACAAATCGATACAGCTTCATGAGACATGCCGCCCTGAATGAAAGTTAGCTTATAATAGCACAAACTTGCCTTGCCTCGCAGAAACCCGATCAGCCCGTAATTCGCAAGTGCGAGACCGTTCTCAGGTCCTCTGCTTCTTCATGTTTGCCCTGGCTATCCAGGAGTGATGCCTCGGGTCGAGAGTACAAAGAGGATTTGTGGCGTCAGGGCGACGGGTTGGGGCTCAGCTAAGCCCTTAACTTCAGGAGGCTTCCAGGAGATGCTTTGGCTTTGGTGGGACCGTAGACTGGGATTCTTCTCGTGTTGGATGAGCAAGGTGTAAATAGCGGTTTTTGCCTCAGGCTCAAGGTTTAGGGTAGGCGGACTCACCGTTGTGCACGCTTTTCGCGCGTGCGATTTGGGGCTTGGAGCGTCTCAACCGTTCACAGGCAAAGGCCGCCGTCAATGCCTTTTGCATTCGGGGCGCACAGTCGCAGCGAAACATGTTCGTGCCGTCCACAGTACTACTTTCTACTACTTACCACCACCACTGCTACTACCACTACCACTAC